TGTTAATTTTTATTGTACAGGTCTCCTCTCTAGAGTTGGCAAGGTTTAAATTTTTATTGAAAAACCTGTTAAATAAAAACATTTTAAGTGAAACAAACATTTTATTCTGACCTTGTCATTCCTCTCACAAAGGAATTTAAGTCTCTGAGCTCTTTTGTGCATAAAGACGCCGTCCAGGTGTCCAGTTTCCACTGAGCGGATCTCGATGGCCTTCTCACCCCAGCCCATTATCTGGTTTGACCTAATGTAGGCTGCAGCAGAACACGGAGTTCGTTACAATCGCTGCATGAATCATGGTGGCGGTTTCTGATCAAAACAGCCAGCTTACCCACTGATGTTGGCATTTCTCCCCACTGTAGCACCACATCCTTGGTTATACGGCCATAGGTGTTCACATAGACTCCCTCATCCTCGTAGCACACCAGCAGCTCTATGCCGTCTGTGTTGGGGAGGATGATGATGGCGTGGCACTGAATGTTGGTCTGGATCTGAAGAGAGAGAAGGGAGAAAAATAAAAAACAAAAAAAAGAGCGATTAGATGGTGAAGAGCATGAAAACCCAACATTATTAACCTAAATACATACATGTGTGGGCAGATAGATGTCGTAGACGGCGCCGGAATCCACATCGACGGCGTGGAAGCCTGAGCAGGAGCCATAGATGACCTTTAACCTCTGACCTTCCTCCACAGTCAAGTCAACCAGCAGAGGCTTGTGCACCAGGTCGCCAAAAGACTAAACCCAATCAGAAGTTTTAAGTTAGAGGCTGAAAACACTTTTAGAAGGCGCTGTAACTTAAGAAGGTGAATCTCTAATGCTCCTCACTTTAAAAGCCATAAATTTATGGTAGGGTTTGGGTGCCCAGGCGTAGACCTCCACAGAGTTCTTCAAAGCCAGTACTAAAAATTTTATCCTCTCATACTTCACTGCAACAAAGAGACAAAGAGAAGTTTCATCCAGTCGTCTAATATAAAAATTTTGAGCGTAGCTGATCTCCAAGATCGCAGACACGACAGAACGTACCGACTTTGTAGTGGACGCAGCCCTCAAGGTCGCCCACGTTCACCCAGCCCTGCTTCTTCTCCACCTCAGGATCGTTGTGCAAAATCTTATTCCTGAGCCACGACAAGTAATACACCCGCAGCTTGTTCTTTTTACCTGCGGAACCCAGAGCACAGCGGTTAAACTAAAAGCATGGATTAAAGGTTCTTCTGTACGGCGAAAAACTTTAGTGGTGAACACCTGATATGGTGACCAGAACATTGAGTCCCTCCAGGACGTCCATCTGCTGGATACGGCGCCGGTTGATGAGGGGGTAAACTTTCCCCTGGCCGCTCCTGTCCAGTAACATCAGCCCGCTCTCCGTCCCCACCAGCAGATTCACTCCTGAAACAGAAGCAGAAAGTAAATCAACCAGCCTGTTTGGGTCAAACTCACCCGGGTCCAGCTGTAAGAAGACACCTACCCCACAGTGCTGCACACAGGATCTCAGAGTTGAACCTCTTCTTGTATTTGCGGATCTCTGGAGTGTCACTGGGTGGGCGTGTGTTGACCGGGTTGACGTTGACCACAGATCCTTTACGGGACGGGTCGGCTCTCAGCGGGTCTGGGAGGCGTCCTTCTTGCCCAAATCCAGCTGGAGGTTTAGGACAGCAGCAGTTTGGTTGTTTGATTTTTTTAAAATATGCATCACCCATTAGTTGACTCACTATTAGACAATCTTTTAGTAAATCATCCTTACCCATGTTGTTCAGGGAGCTGCCACTGGATGGAGATATCTGAAGAAGACGGGGGTCAATGAAGGGTGTGAATGACGAAGAGGACTTGTGTTTGGACATTGAATTGTTCTCTGACTGGGACTGGAAGATATTTGACATAAGCAAGCATGATTTTTAAAAAGATCAAAACTGTTGAGCTGATGAGACATACAGCCGGAACCAGACATTTTCAGTTTTTAAAGTGATACATCTACTTTAATCAATACTATCTGCCAAATGCCATAATAAAGAAGGATTTAATCATATAAAATTTTGTATTAATTAAGGATTTTTAAATACATTTTATTAAGATTAGGTATCGTCTTTAAAAACTAACACTGTAACATCTGTGGCCCACACCTCCTGACAGAACAGGTGGAACCGAGTCAGTTTCCAGATTCCTTCGTTTGCTTTGAGTCATTTTCCATTTGTCCCCAAGCGTTACCCTCCAGACAGCAGCATGTTATTTTGCTTCAGTGTTTCCACATGAAGATCTTTACTCATGAAGTCTCCTGCAGTAAAAGCATCCTCGGCACATGATGCTGGGCACTCATTCATCAACGTTAAGTTGTAAGATTCTTCCTTTTACCGCCAGACAACATTATAGCCATTATGAATATACATTAATTTAGGTAAAAAAAAAAAACAACAACCCAAAACTCTGTTGAGCTTTTAACCAAGTTTTAACTCTATTCCTTCATCAAAATCAGCCACAAAGTGATAATTTACTTAATTAATCATCATTAGTTGTGCTGTCTAAGCAGCAGTCCATAGCCTAGCAACAAAGCGATAACACATCCATTAACTGTGCTAAACCTACACTCCAGACAAATGCCTGTTTCTAGGATCATAGGGGGGATGGTAGGAAAAGCGTGATGCTGCCGGCCTAAAATTAAAACAAAGTTACTCTTTTAGCAGCAATCTGCACAGCAACTGTTCCTGATTAGCTTTTGTCCCAAGTCGAAGTTTAAATCGTTTGGCATTGTTGTTCTTTTTTTTATTTAGTTTTGACTTTTATTTTATATTCTGTTTAATTTTGCTGCTACCATTTGTGAGCTTGTTTAGCTTTTAATGTTCGAAATGCTTAGTTTCAGTTCAGTTTTTATTAGTGTCAGTTTAGTTCTAATATTTTATGTAATAGGACTTGCATACCAGGGGTAAGACTAAAAAACAAAAAAAAAAGAAAATAAAGAAATATAAATAAAGTACTCGATTGACACGACTGGTTTAGCAATACAAATGACCCGACTGCTGTTCCTGCTATCTGCTGGAGTAATCTGATAAAGCGGGGGGAAAAGCTAAAAAATTACTTATTAATGCATTATGATGAAGGCTAATAAAAACTACATTCAGCTAGTTTAGTTTTGTAAACTCTTAGAGTTTCAGTTTGTTTTTGTTTGTCTTTTTGCAACATCTATATATATATATTTTTTTATTTCACTAAACACATTTTTTTGAAAATCATTTTTTTCTATATTTCCTTAATTTTAGTCAACAATAACCTTGGTCCAAGTCATGCCATCAGTCATTGACATCAGACTTTGTAAAGCAATCTACATGGCATGATATTGGTAGCCTGGGTGCCATTCCGAACTTAGTCCCGCCCACAAGGTTTGAGGTCGGGAAGTTTGGTCTGGCTCTGCTCCATAGTAGCGCGAGTATGATCGCCCATCCTCTGGCGATCCAATCAAATTGTCAGGGCGGGCTTTATACGATGATGGACAGATGATAAACAGCAACGTAATCAATCACGTGACCAAAGTGCGCTTGGGTGACAACAACTATGCATCGCTTAACATACGTCACACACTCCTTTGCTCTTATTGGTTGTAGGTCTATCCAATTGAGTGCAGAGGCATTTTTTTTCCTGGTTCATTCGAAACACGCCCCATAATCACAGCTCTATGGAGCAGTATCAGACTCATATTCTGACTAGAATTGAGTAGGACTACATCAGGCTACGATATTGGGAGGACATGAAAAGTTTTGCACACAGACTGAAAGAAGAGGCTTCGCTGTATGGAAGCCGGTCTTTTTCTTCTAGGTTGGAAGAAAATGGCTAATTTTCATAACAAATAAATACTCTCTACTGCTAAAGGCACCGTTTCATCATATATTTGCCTAAAGTTGAATTTGAAACGCTTAAAAGAAAGCATGATAGAGAGGTTTAATCCTGTCTTTTATGTTTTGAAGTCTTCCTTGCAGAGCGGCATTTCAGGACTTTGTGCTGAAATAAAAGTCAGTTTCACCATCGATAATGACTCCCACCAGCTTCAACCATCAACCTCAGATGTTTTTCTTTTTTTCTAGGGTTTAATCTACAAATTTTACACTAAACACTCAGATTAGGATAGATGGATCTTTTATACTTAAAATAATTACAGATGAACGTAGCTAGATTCTAACATTATTTTGGCATTTAGCAAATGTATTTATTCCTTTTTTGTTTTATCAAACAAAAAAAAAAAATATTAAAAGTTAAAGGCAAAGAAAAAGAAAAAAGAATGTTGTGGATCTTTTTTTTTTTTTTACAGAATCTATAAATATCTGGTTTTGACTGTAGCTCTCTATATAATAAAAGCTTTCCCCCCAACTGCTAATTTAAGCTGAAAACAAACCGAGCACTAAACATGTTAAAACCAATGGATTTCATGCAGAATGTTAATTTATTAGAGACTGGAGAGAGAAAAAAAGCATCAAATGGAAACAACAGTGTAAAAAACGAGAAGAAACAATAGTCTATCCAGACACAAGCTGTGATTTGTTAGAGGGAAAAAAAAGATTTAATCATCAGCAGCGATGCAAGTCAATCTAACCCAAAATCTCTCTTCAGAGGAGTCTCCTCCATGTTGTGATGCCATTTTACCAGCAGGAGGCACCGATGTTAGAGGCAGTTTAATGGGCGCATTGCAGAGCAGGAAAATGGAAAGATGCTGGAGCTCAGGGTTTGAAACAGGGTGTGAGCGGAGTCAGACAGCAGCAGTGGTGAAACCAGAAGGATGCAGAGGGGCAGGAAAGGGTGAAGGGAGGCTCCAACAAGCAAGGACGGTACAGTCAGGATACATAGGATTAGATGGGAAAATGATCTCTGCACATCTAAGCCTGTATATTTCTGAACCGGCCGTTCCTTGATCGTTTGCCTCTTTGGTGTGAGGGCAACATACCTCTATGGCAGTGAGCTCATCCAAGGGAATTTGTGGACACATTCCAGGACTGGCCTGGCTAGAAGATGACTGAAAGGAGGAAGAGGAGGAGGAGGGAGACATGGAGATGGAGGAAAGGATGGTTGTAGAAGAGGAAGGGGAGTGATGGCTCTGCTGGATAAGGTCTGGTAGGTGGTGAATGTGGCCGGGAAAGCCGTTTTTCTCTGGGAGGCCGTGCCCTGGGCCAGGGCCAGGCGAGGAAGAGGAGGAAGATGAGAGACTGACCAACCGCTTTATGTCAGCTGTGCTCTGGAAGCAAGAAACAGGCACATTTGGGCTCAAGCAAGGAGGTGAAGAGGGAGACTGGCTGCGTGTTTCATCCGGATACAACACAGCGCCTCGCAGAAGTGTTCATGCCCCCTGAGCTTCTTCACATCGTCACGCAGCAGCAACAAATCTTAATATGGTTTGATGAGACACTATGTCAAAACTGGATTAAATTGATTTGTTTTGCATGGATCTACTGCACCCAGGGGACTTGTGCTTAAAAGAGCGCAGCTTGGTGGTTGGGACAATTTTCAAGAGCAGCTTTATAATAGATTTGTTACCAAACATATTGTGTTAAAGCAACCTACAAAAAACAAGGTTTAAAACTAAGAATCTCTGGCAAAACTAGAAAATTTTATTTCCCAGATGCCCTCCATTTACAATGGAGTGCGGTTCAATATGTTGTTGTTTCTGGGTCTAGTGTGACTGAATGTAAAAAAAGAGCTCAAGGGGTGTGATTACTTTTGCAAATCATTGCATAATCAATTCATTTCTCGTTGAAGAGCAGCGCCAGTGGCTGTAAATGCTCTGATCTGTGAAGGTGAAATATCACAGCACATGGGACAATGAGCATGCAGCAAAACAAGACAGGAGGACAATATGTGGATAAAAGACACTAGGCCTGGATCCAGGACATGGAAAAGAAAATCTTTTTTTTTTTGCTTCAGTCAAAAAGGTTTCTACCTGTCGGATGACCAGGGTGCCATCTTTGGAAGGTGTGGTGGCTTGTTCGCTCTCCAGGTCCTCCACCAGCATGGTCTTAGCAGAATCTGTCTCTCCATTACTCAGCCTCCTGCAGGATTCAGAAGATGCTTTTATTTTCCTTAAAGATGCAGCTGATTTTGGGGGCAAACATGGAAAAAACTTACAGACTTTCCCTGGAACAAACTGTGTTGTTCTCACTCATTCATGTTCATTTTAAATGTGAGATAGTCAAGTTTACTTTAAATTTGAGACTGATAGTATTTTTTTAAATATAGAACCAGGAAGGAAAGAAAGTAGTAAGGAAGAGGCAGAGCCTTTGATGGCAGCAAGGCCTCAGACACCACTTCCCCACACATGCGGAGGTTTCTTAGACATGCTAAGGATACATCGTGAAATGTGATTTTTTTTCCTTCCTCCTTAGACCGAATTGGAATAAATAAAGTATTTTTAATTGAATTTTTATTATATTTTTGCTTTTCATCAAAAAAATAAAAATAAGAGCCTCTAAGGAAGGAAGGAAGGAAGGAGAATCAAAGAAAAAAAAGAGGAGGGAATGTGGGGCACAAGAAAGAATTAAGTAAAAACAAGGAAAAATTAAAGAACAGAAGCTACAAAGGGGGAATGACAAATGCAAACAGGAAAAGCATCAGGAGGGAAAGAAGAAAGAGATTAAAAGAAGGTAATGAATGGAAAAAAAAGGAATGAAGGTATGAAGGAAGGACAACATTTAGCCAAACTAAATATAGTAAACGACTTTACTCCACACAGCGTTGGATGCAGTGTTGAAACATTTTATGTTGGTGAGGCAGTTGAATTACCCTGCTCTGGAGTCCTCAGCCCCTGAGGTAGACTCATCTCCTGCCTCCTGGTCCACCTCCTCCTCATCTTCGTCATCAGTGGTGCCGGAATCGTCGCTCGACGAGGAGTAGTCCGTCACCTTGTGAGGAGGCCGCACGTCATCTACTGCACGCAGCTCTTTGGCCAGAGCCGCCAGGTCCTACAGGGACAGATTCCAGTCAGTTCTTTCATCCATGGACTCTAATCTGAACACATCTGATGCAACCCTGAACCTAAATGTTTATACCCAACCTTCATAAAGTAATGAAACTCAGCAGAGCCTTGAAGCAATCTCTCCTTGCTTTACATAAGTTTGCAGTGATGTAATCAGGTCAATGTATCCCATTTCTAGGCTCAAACAGGTCGTTTAGAGAAACTCAGCCTTGGGCTCATTAAAAATGTCAGCTTAACAACATGTTTCATTCCACCTAATCTTAGCTGCAGGAGGCATTATGTGGAATATTCTTTGAAGCATTAAAATCAGATTAACAAATGTCTTTTTAGTTTCTACCTAAAGATGCTGGTTTATAAGGTCAGTGACAAACAGGAAAAGGGAGGAGGGGACAATCCCCCCGACATGCTTGACAAAACAAATAGGCTGCAGTCTGATCCGACAACAAAGCCAGGTGAGATTAGGAGCCACTCCGACAAGCAGAGAGACCGTTTGCATTCAAATGAGGTTGCATTCAAATCCAGGCTCAGGAAACCATGTCAGAGTTAACCCGTGTCTTTTGTTGATGGAGAGGAATGAACAGAAGTGGCAAGGATGAGAAAAGACGCTGCAGAGTCAGCGCATTTATTCATTCGATGCAGAGTCATGATGTGAAGGCTCCATCACACAGGGTTCCTACACATTGCTCATTGAAAAACAATTAACTTCTCCAGACTCAAATGTTCATGAGTTTTAGTTTTTAAATACTAGGTCATTTCAAAAGTGGAGAAAATCAGGAAAACACAATGGAAGGAAGCCAGGACACAGGAAGGAAGGGAAAAAAGAAGAAAAAAAAACAAGCAAGGAAAGATTGATGCAGGACAAGGGACAAAGGCAAGGAAAAATAAAACAAGAAAATCACAAGGTAAGGACATAAAAATGAAAGAAACAAAGGAGGTAGATACCTTAAGAAGGGAGAAAGGTAAAAATGACAATGAGGATAGGAAAATGTAAAAAGGGAAGGAGAAAAAGAAGCAAACGATGAGGAGGAGAGAAGGAAGAAAAGATTTAAGAAATAAGGACAAGGAAGCAGGACACAAGGAGGTAAGAATGACTTTAGGAAAAGCAACAAAGAGGTAAAAAAGGAAGGAAAGAAATGAATGAGGGGGGGGGAAAGGAAGAAAAAAACCCAAAGATGGACACAAGGACATGAGGAAGGAAAGAAGGGGGGACAACATTTAAAGAAATGGTTCTGGAAATAAAGTCTGGAAATACAAACTTAAATCCATTTTTAACACCTATTCAATCCTGACCTCTCCTAGATGCATAGGAACCCCAAGCATGAAAAGGATGTGAGAATGCAAACGTTTGACAGAGTCTTACCGTGTCACCCTTGGTGGGAAAATTAAGAGTGGCAGAAAACAGAGCAGGGCGAGAGAAAAAATGTGCTCCATCACATCTGCAATCAGGTTTCTACACCGCTTCCTTTTCAGAACTCAACACTACGTTTAAAATTTTTGTTTTGATAAACTTCTGGAGAATTACGCACTAAAATAAACAAGTTGAATATCATTACAGTCATGTTGCAAAAATATTGAGGTCCCAGGAGGTTTAGGGTTACAATTCATAGGTTTGAAAACAATATTTCACGATGGGATTAAATGCTTTTTGCACCCAAATGTGGTTACACTAAAACAACATGAAGCTGATGCTAGCTTACATGTGTGGGGCAAAGATGGCTGCCTTTAAATCTAGATTCAGTTTAAACATTTCAACCTTTTTTCATCACAAGGGGTAAAAAATGTCACTTTCAGACCTAAACCTGTACTGAAGACACAATAAAAACTGAAAAATGGTTTAAAAGAGATCTATAAGAGTTCATTTAAGGTTTCTGTCAGAAAGTAAGTCTAAAACTAGGACTATATAAAATCGTTTGCAGCATTATATTTGTCACAAAATTCTAAACACCCAAAACCTATAAATGAATAAACCACATGAAACCAGACTAATCAATATATCTTAAATAAACTCAAATTAAATTTGAATTTTTTTTAGTAAGATAATGAAATTGTAACCTAATGGATTCAAACGTTTTTTAAATATTTGCAAGAAACACCACCTTTACATTTATTTGGTATTTTTAGAGGACTGAACAGGTAATAATGTCAATAAACATCTACTATATTTTTAAGTTTTATGTTCTTATCTAAATGATAAAAGCTTTTAATAAACCTTAAAACCTGTAGCAACTCTCACATTTTTTTCTTTACATATCCTTTTCAAAAAATATCTGATCTGTTATTAGTTTTTTTCTTCAATATAGTAGAATAAGTAAGGAAATCAGGATATTGGGCCATGGTTTTTTAATTTTTTTCTCCAGCAGCAGGGGACTTACAGCGGGTCTTGTGGGTCTGGAGGAGTTCTTCTCATCTGTTTTTTTTAGGATGTTTTCTGGACGCTGGAGAGGCGATCCTTCCGATTTAGAGGAAGCTTTGTGGAAACATACACAGTATTAGTAAGGGGAAACAACATGAATAGGGGATTTTAGTTATCTTTTCCATTAATAAATAAAAAAAGACAGAATATTTTCCTGATAAAGTGAAACGTTAAACTAAGTAAAGGATGTGAAATGTGTACAGTACCAGGTGACTCACAACGTGGCCTGAAGCGGTCGCCTGGACTGGCCTGGGAGCTGGCATTAGATCCAGAGGAGCTGCCACTGCCTGGCCTAGACTGCAGTTTCTCCACTCTGTCCCACAGGGGGCGCTGCTCCACACTACTGAGACAAATCCATGGACCATCAAATTAAAAAAATCTCCTCCCAAATTTATGCCACTTATGAGTTGATCACACTGGCATGCAACAGAAAATCACACTACATATTCACACATTCAATGCCAATTGGTTATTGTTTTTAGATTTTTCTCAGGTTAAAACCCCAAATAAGAGAAAAAAAAGCTTTTAAAATAAATGAATTTGAACTGAATGTGATATAAATAACAGCAGCACATCAATAGACTCAATAGACTTCTTTAAGATTTTATTTATTTGACCCCTTCATGGTATTTTTATTAATTATTGTAAAAATTGTTGTAAAAATATACTCATGAATGCGTAATTTAAAAGTGATGGGTTACAGACCTGCCTGCACTCCTCTGGTTGTTGGGCTGTGATGGTAGAGGTGACTCTCGGCGTGACAGCACAGGAGACCTGGATGTAGTCCTCACTGGTACCTGTTGGAGACAACCAAAGGTCCTCAGGATTGTAAAAAAAAAAAATTGTTACCAAATTCAATTTGTTTTTTGCCCCCGAATTATTTTAGTTTTCCTTTTTTGCTGAAAGAAAAAAAAAACAAAAAACAAAAACAGAACAAAAAACATACAAAGCGAGCTGTCCAGATTTAAAAAAGGTAACTATTCCATAAACAACTGGGACTGAGCATTTGCAATAAATGCTAACAAGTTTTATATCACTTGGAAGGAATTTCGGTCCACCATTTTTAAATGATTACTTTGTGTAACAAACAGACCAATAGTGGAGGGTTTATGGAAGTCATGTGATCTTGATCTAATGTTGCTGGACTTTGAATAGACCTACCAAAACCCTTTAACCTCTGTCGTAGCCAGGGGTCAGCCTTCCTGATGCGATTAGGATCCGCATTGCCCACTACCGATTAAGCTTCATTTATGTTTGATGCTTCCGCGCAACCAAATTACCCCATTTCGGTGTTCCACGCCACTCAGGACTCCAAGTGGACAGACTTTCCACACGGAGCACCTAGGAAGATTTGCAACAACACGGATAGATCTGCACAGAAAACAATGGCGAGGGAGCAGCAGCTCCTGCTGGCGCAAATGTAAAAATCTAGAGACATCCCGTTATTTAAATCATAAATATCACCACTATCAACAAATTAATGGTGTCAGCTTACAGCTTGTGTTGAAAACAACCTGGAGCCGGCCAGGATAGGGGGAAAGCCGAGTATGAATGCTGCAGATGCTGTGACGGATGACTCCATTTCCATGGCAAACGTTCGTGCAAATGCTCGTGCGTCAACCATAATGAGCCTTTTATACTACCACCTTGTTTTATGATATTGCTTCCCTTGTATTCCGTTAGTTTTATGCCAGATATGAAAAAAAAAACATTCATACAATATTTCCCCCAGAAGTCTATTGGACATATGGACATATACAGGTGTTTATGTTTGAGCTTTGGAGCGCCTGTTGCCTGGTTGACATGCTAATGTACATGATACCACTAAGGGGCAATGTACGGACGTCAACACACTGCGCCAGTACCATCTGATTTAGCCATGGCGCAGCTCTGGTGAGAGGGAATTGGATAGAAACAATAAAGCTCATGTACTGCGCGCTGGCTCCCTTCCATATTGCTCTCCATTGCTTACTGTCCTAATTTCTGTCTTATTGGTGACATCATCAACGCTAACCCAGCGTGATAGTGTCACCAGACACTAAAAAATTGGGGCATAGAGGCCACACAGCTTGCCAGCATAGGGTAAAAACCAATTGTTTTGTTTTTTTTTGCCAGTGGGAAAGGAGTCAAGTGCTAATTTTCAGCCCGTCGACCTGTGTTTGAAAAACCCGCTGATTTCAGTGGGAAAGAGGCCATTACTGTCTTGGTAATGTTGTCACCTCGTGGTGTAGTTTTGATGCTATCTTAGAGAAGTTTTGCTACTAGAAGTTTCTCCACAGTTCCATGTTTTTTTAACTGTTGACAATAGATATTACTGTGGTTAATTGGAGTCCAAAATCCTTAGAGATGGTTCCAGACTTTGCATCTCCTCTGCTCTAAAGAGTTCTCCACACAGGGCCCCATGTTGCTTCTTTAGTAACCTTGTCAGACGGATTCTCTTTGAAGTTTTTTTCTTTTTTTTATACCACAAACCTGGTGGTAATCAGGCCTGGGTGTGGCTAGTAAAGATGAACTGATTTACAGCAGGGGGGAGAAACTTCATTTTTTGTATTTATTCAGGAAATTTCTGTCTGAAAAGAAATGATAATCCAAAAAAGGAAGTCTTTAAAAGAAAACGAACAAACCAAAAGGAAACGCATTTTCATAAAACATTAAATTTGCACCAAAAAATAAAACTGATCTGTGAAAATGAAAAAAAAAAATATATATATATATATATATAAAAAAAACTATGTAAAAGATTTTATTTAATTTCACTTTATGCGTCACTACTGTGACTAAAATTTGATGAAATTAACAGAGGCAGACGGAGAGGGTGAGGAGAATAATGTGATAGGAGGTGGCTGACAGTGGGGACGGTGGGAGTGGCATCACAGCAGCCCTGGCCAGCTCCTTACCTTAGGAGGGACCTCCTCACTGCTGGTCTGGCGTTCAAGCCTGGTCTGAGCCTGAGGGTGGTGGAGGGGAGGTTGGGGGTCGGGGCGTGCAGGCAATGGGTGATGATGATGGTGGGGGTCCTGGGACCGCAGGTGAAGTTGTGCAAAGCTAGAGTTCACACCACCAGACTCGCTGAAGGACTGGGAGCGAGAGACCACAGGCGGAGGAGGAGGAGAGGGGGCTGCATTGTTGCTGCTCTTTAGAGCAGCCAGGTGGGACCACTGGACCTTTTTGGGAGGGAGGGAAGGGAAGGAGGGGGAGGAGGACGAAACAGGCAGACAAAACAGTGAGACACGAGGGAAGATGTGTGAGGTTTTGTACATACATGTGCTTTGATAGATACACATGCAAACAGAGAACACGAAACGATGCGTTTTGCTCAACCTCAGAGCAAAAACTACAAGGTTAAGTTTGTGCAAGTGGTTAAATTAAATTAGGTTATATCAATAACGATAGCCCAGCTTTACCAGGCTGTTTCATAACAAAAGCAACAAAAGTTGCAAATAATTCCTAAGAGTTTAATCTACAGCATCCTCCGTTATTAGTTAAGGCATTTTAGCTGTTGATAATTAGTTATTAATCTCAATCCAGTCCTGAAGTTAAACTTTAAACACCAAGAAAAGGGGGGAAATAATCACACCCCTGAAAATGTTTCACATTTTCGTCATAATCAAATATAATAATCCATTTAATTTTCATGAATTTCATGTAATTTACAACAAACTACAGACAAAATCCAAACATTTTCCTAATTTATCATCTTTAATTTTTTGAGTAAATCATCAGTATTACAACTGTTAAAAAGAAAGTCTAATTTAAACGAAATTCTAACTTTAAAACAATCAAATTTAACAGTTTATATGACACAAGGTAGCAGAAAAAAAACATCTAAACTTAATTTAAAACTTGAGACCTTTCATTAATAAACCTGTGGCTAAAATTAAAGGTATAGAGGAGGATGTTACTTTCCAAATCTTCTTTTGGAAAGTAAGCTTATATGAGCAATGCAAACAGCAACTTTTAAACAGAGGACAGAGGAGAGCTCAGAGAGGGTGGGTCTTTTCAAAAAATTCTCAAAAATCCTCAACTGTACCGGTATTACTGATGGTTTTGATGAACTTCTGTTGGAAAAATAGTGGAGGAAAAGAAAGGGAGAGGCAGAGGGAGGTGGATGGAGTTACCTGAGGCTCCATGGGGCGGTGCATGGCGGAGGCCTCCGAGGCGGGGCCCCCATTGGAGAAAGGTTCAGAGGAGCGGGGAGGCAGAGGGGGCTGCTTAGAAGGAGGGGCAGACTGTGGGGAGCCCTGAATGTTCTTACGGAAACGCTCGTCAGCCTGGGGGGAGAGGTTAGGAGAAGACAAAGATTGGATGAACAAACATGGATGGCAGAAAAAAAAAAACACAAGCAGAAAGGAACTACAGCTATAATTTTATGTTGACACCAAATTAAAATGTCCACCAGTAGAAGTAGTTCCAATCTTCTTGTTTCTCTTTTCTTGGGGTAAAAAAAAACAACAAAAACTTGACATGCAAAGAAGTGGACAGACTGTTGTCAAACAGATAAAACGGTAAATCTAAAATACCAGGAGAAGGAAGTCAACTGTTAAAGATGAAAGAGGCTGCCAGCAGACGGCCCAGACTGCACGGGTGCTCTGGGTGTTAGTTTGGGCCCCAGTCGTCCGCATGCAAACGGCCCTTGGGTTACACATGGACAGCCATTTAAAAGAAGTACTGAACGCTTTCAAACAAAGATCAGAGGCAAAACTTTGCTTTCAACTCTCAAAGGTTGCATACTGCCTCCACATCCAAGGTACATTTTTTCTTTTTGTGTGTCAGCAATGCCTCTATGATCACAACACAGAGTGTGAAGGCAAGCAAGTGGAAGCTAAAAAGAGCAGGCAGCAGGGCAGATAGAGCCGAGGAGGAAGTTCACCTCTCTGACAGGCTGGGGGGGATGAGTAGCAGGCTCCGTGAGCCTGTCAGCCTCCGTACTTTTTGCTTTGGGAGTTTTAGAGTCAGCGAGGGTTTCAGTAACAGAGGGAGTGCTCTCATCAATCCCATGTTGCACTGCTGCTTGGGAGTTAGCGCTCTCTCCAGGGGCAGCAGTGTTAAGGACCTCAGCATTTGAGGAAGGGGTGTGGACTCCATCAGGGGGCAGCGAGGAGGTCTGTGGAGGGTTTTTACAGTCTAGGGGGGTTTGGGACACGTCGGCAGGCTGCTGTTTAGATTGGTGCTGCAATGACAACAGGTAAGTCTGCTCCTGCTGCAGCCGCTTGTGGAGGCGCTCTGCCTTGCGCTGCTCCTCCAGCTCGCGCCACTTGAACTCCTGTTGCAGAGCGCAAGATTGAACCATCTGTTTGATTCAGCCTTTATTCAATAAATGATTCATTATTAAAAACATAAAAAATAGAGAAAATATTAATTTTGAGTTTAAAATGCTTCCAAGGAACCCAGAACGTAGATACAGCTATATTTTGATCTAGTCACGCTTAATATTAGTCCTCTCTGTAATGTTGGCTTCACTTGCTTTGTGTGTGTGAAACTGACCAGCAGCATGGCCTGTTCTCGAAGCAGCTGCTCCTGCAGCTTCTCCAGGTGTCGCTGCTCCTCCTCCAGCTGACGCCTGATGTACTCCTGTCAGCAGATCCAAGACCAAGAATTGAATATTGAGAATAATACGCCCCAGTTTTATAGATCACCTCAAAAAAAGGCGCCACCAAAAAACAAACCTGCTCACGGTCATTCCGTCTCTTCTCCTCCTCGGCTCGCCGCCGTTCCTCCTCCTCTTTGCGTCTGCGTTCCATCTCCTCCATACGCCTCTTCTCCTCTTGCTCCCTCCGCCGCTGCTCGCGCTCTTGTTGCCTCCTCATCTCCCGTTCGCGCCTCTGTTGCTGTTGATTAAAACACAGTGTTAATGTCTGCAACAAAACAGCCTGATTTTCACCAATCTGACAACCTTTGAAAATCCAAGTTAAAATTTCCAACCTCTTCCAGCCTCCTCCTCTGTTCCTTCTGTTGTTCGATGCGTTTCTGTCTTTCAGCCAGCAGTTGACGCTTGTACTCCTCCTGCTCGCGGAGCTGCTGCTCCTGAAGGAGCTGCTGGTGACGGAGCGCCTCTGAACGCTCCTTGTTCTCCTGCTGAAGGCGGATGAAGTCGCGGCGCAGAGTCGACTCTCCTGGCACGTTGACGATCGAGCTGAACGTCATGAAATGAGAGACACCGTTAGGGTTTTGTAAGAAGTGGATGATAACAGGAGGTCAAGTAAGTCCTAGACAATACCTGGGCTCTCCTTCCTGCTCTGGAGGATCCTCTTCCTCATCTTCACTGCCGCTGTACTCGTACTCCGTTTCATCTATGCATAAAATGTATACATCATCCTACAGGTTCAAAAATCATAGAGCTACATTTTCTGTCCAAAGTAATGAACATGTCCGATTTGTCTTCTGGTGAAAAAAAAGGTGTAAAAAAAACTAATTTCAAAATCAAGTAAGTAGGTAAGTTAGTAAGAGGAAGAAAGAAAGACAAGGAAGGAACAAAGGAAGGAAATCGGTGAGGACTAGTTAGGGAAAAAGGGATTAACGAAGGAACTAAGGATGGTCAATGAAGGAAGGAGGGAACTGAGGAAAAACTACGAAGGAGGCTAGGAAGGAAATGGGTAACGACACGAAGTAAAGAAAGAAAACCAAAGAAACAAAGAAAGAAAAAAATAAATTTATGGAGGGGTATCAGGAATGAAAAAGGAAAATAAAGAAATAATTGGAGCGGGACAGAAGAAAGGGAAAAACAATCATGATAAAAGGACATGAAAATGAGAAAGGACAAAAGGGCACAACAAAGTAATAAAAGTAAATAGAAAGGAAGATCACGGTGATGGACACAGAAGGGTGACACAAAGGACAAAGGAAAGGAAGAAAGAGGACAAGTAGGACATTAAAAAGGGAGACAGACAGAAACCATAAAGTATGAAAGACAAAGGGTGAAAACAAGGGCAGGGAGGAGAGGACGCGCAGCGAAAGATGAGAACGAAGGAGGGAAAATACAGAAAGGGGGAAAGAGGAGGGACCATGAAAAGAAATTACACAACATGCAGAAAATTTAATATTTTAAATTTTTTTCATACTTATCAAAACCTGAAAAATAATGAAACGTTAATCCGTAATTTTCCAGGCAACCATCGTACTAACCTTTTTCCCCCCTCTTCTTCTTGGTCCGGTCGATGTGGTCTTTGAGCTGTATCCTAACTTGCCTCTCATTGGGCTGGTCACGAATGAAGGGATGCTTCAGCAGCTGGTCGGTTGGAGGACGCTGCGTGTAGTTCTTCACCAAACAGCTCTCTATGAAGCTAAAAAACTTTTTGGACCTGAGGGACAGTCGCACAAGCATCATGTGAGAAAGAGACAAAGCTAAATGAATAACAAGTATCTGACTAAATTGATCACTTTTATATACATTAATGGAAAATGGAAAGATTATAAAGCTTTAATATATATCATATCTATACCATAAACTAAACCACCACTCCTACACCTGCTGCCGCTTTCAAGTGTTGATGAGGCGAAATTGATTTCATGTAATTTTCATTAAAATAATGCAGCAGGACATACCAAGTGGTTCTGAGTAAATATGACACAAACAGGCTTATTTTTAACAAATATCCTACATTTAGTATCAGCACTCTTGATCACATCAGAAAGAAAGCCCTTTTGGAGCTAGTATGTGTGGTTAAACCAAGAAAGTGTCAGACCCCACAGATCGGAACCATCCAGATCCTACAGAGTCAGACTCTGAGCCGGAGGGTGATGCTAATATGACTGAAGCATTGCTGGTAGAAAACACATAGCAGGGAAAGACGGATTGCTACGCCTCTGGTTCAGATAGTATAACCAGATATTAGTTTCTTAAATATAAAATTAGAAGATGAACATGATTTTCAAATAAATCCTCCCCC